ACTAGTAGGATGTATGCCTTATGAAGAATAATTTTAGGGGGCAACATTCGTTTCGGCCCATAGAGGGTCCTATGAGAGATAAAAAATAATTTAGTATGTAGAAAAATCGGTATTTCATTACTTCAATGCAGACTATTAGTTATTGTAATTATCTCATACTCCAATTAATTTTGTTCTACTTTCACGTACTATATAATGCATATTTATTGTCAAAATTGATTTCGAAAATTTTATATATCTGTAGTTTTTCAGAAAAAAAAGAAAAAAAATTGGAATTTTTAAAAAAAAAAAATTTGGCATCAAATTTTTTAAATTTTCTTTTTTTCAAAAAATTTTCCAATATTAAAACTAGTAAACAGTAATAAATTTCATTTATATGAGAGTCGAAATATAATATGCATTTTCCCAATTTAATGTGTATTTAATTTATTTCATATTTAATGTGTATCCAAAAATGTGATTTATTAAAAAAAAAAANTCTGAATAACATTACACGTTTGTTGTAATGATTGGAGTTTCATTTCAATGTACTGATTAAGTTGATCTTTCAAGTAGTCCATTAGGGGTAAATTAATTATTTAGGGCTGCGTATTAATTTAGTTCGAAATCTGGTACAAAAACATTCAGTGCGAAAAAGAAATTCCTCCGGAATAACTTTTAATTTATTGATTGGTTTTTCCCAATCACAAGTCTCATCTACAGGTCTAAGCCGGATGAAGATAAAATTTTAAATCGTTTCTAGACCGCTAACCAGCAGAATTTACATTGCAATTTCATCACCATTTAAAATTCTTTGTCAAATGAAATTTCGATTCCTTTCCGACATGCTAGAATCAGATTTCCGAATAATTTTCGACTAACTAGAAATCCCACATTTCATCAACAGCTTTGCACTGGATGACAATACAAGTTTTAATCGCTTCCTGATCACCATCTAGTAGAATTTATACTACCGTTTTATTACCTAGAATCGGTCGGGAGAGCTTGGTTGGCAGGGGACTGGACTCACGTTCGTGAGAACGGCAGTTCGAGATCAGCCGGCCAAAGACTCCCTGTGTAGTAAATGGTGCATGGTGCATGTTAAATCTGTTGGGTTAGAGACGTGATACATCAGGGGATAGAGCTTTCTTCCAATGAGGTGAACCGGGATCGAATCCCGGCGATGGCTGATCGATACGAATTCCGCATCTGGCTTGCACCGACCACAGTGCTGACGTGAAATATGCTCAGAGCTAGACGGATCATGGGTTAGAGTCCCTTTGCTGTCAGGCTAATCGTGGGAGGTTCTCGTGGTCTTCCTCTCCATGTCACGCAAATGCGGGTTAGTTCGATCAAAAGTCCTCCACGAAGGCAAATTTATCCCAATACTTGATTCAGGAGCTTCCTTGTCTTCTGGATTGGGTTACGCAGTTGAAAATTAGTAGTCGTAAACCAAAAAATTGGGTCGGTTGTTTAACGACGGTTATAAAACAAAATAAAATATGTTGGGTCATAAAGTCCTCCATGTTTCCATAACAAATTATACCTTTGGGGTAGTGAATTGACGAATAATTGTTTTTTTGTTTAGGCTAAAATTACGATCTGTGAATGAATAAACGGGCGTATGAATGGGTCCGCCCTATAAACGAATGTGACGTAGTCGGAATTCGATTTCTTGGCCATAGATGGCATCACTGGAAAACATGATTAATCGTACCCCTTGCCTTAATGGCTCATGACAACAGCAAAATTACCTAGAGTGAACTGCAATTTTAACTTCTTTCTGACTAGCTTAGAATTCTCAGAACTTCTCTGTTGAGTTCCGTGACTGATGAGAATGTAAGTGCCAATCATTTAGAGACCTCTCCCACTTGAAATTATCGTGATTTTGCCACCATGTAAAATTAATTGTTAATCAAGTTTTAAAACTTTTTCCGACTAACTGGAAATTACACGTATCATCTTGATCTCTGAGCCGTTACAAATAAAACTTATCGTCAAAGAATAAATAATTAAAATTTTTCAAGTTAGTCTGATGGTGATAAAAGTTTCTGTCCTTTCTTACCGCTAACAATTGCCATTTTATCTCCATTTAAAATTTATTGCTTTCTATTTAATTTACTTTCAACTAGTACGCTGCAAGGGGTTCCGATACTATATAATCGGCCTTAGCAAGATTCAGACCCAGAAAGCCTGTAAGATTACGGCAACCTTATGTCGGAATTTTCTTTTTATTGTCACGGAAATGTTTGTGCTAAAAATCTTTTTTTCTATAAAGAAAAACAGTTTCAAAACTTTCAACCTAAAAAAATTACAAATTACTTTTTAAAGCTTTTTCAAAAAATATTGCCACTTAAATAAAATGGAAACTTAGGTCCATAATGACGTTTTAGCTGACGTCACACTATCGATAGGATCAAATTGCATTGTTCATTAAAATTTCATGACAAGGTGGATTTTAGCTGAGCATGTAAGACTTTGCGAAGAGAAACCTTGTAATTACCTCGATTTGAGATTATTTTCAAGACTAGCTTTATTAAAGGATTTTTTTTAGTCTTGAAAACTCTAAGTCAACCTCGATTTAAGGGTTTAATATAGAAAATTGTTTTCCAAGGTTTTGGATTATGGTAATGCGCGTGGAATAGAGCAGATTGTCAAATACCTAGTTTTCATGTTAGAAGGTTTACACGCAAACCGTATAACAAATCTTTTTCGGTTAACATTAAAAGGTTTATGCTGAGTAAAAATAAACCTTATTTTGCTATTTCATTGTGGTCACTTGAAATGCATGAAATTTCAGATTGGGGAAAAGATTTTTTCTCCTTGCTCCTTTCTCGCTAGTCCTGCTGGAGGCAGCTGTTATTAGAGCAGGAGAGGATTTTCGATGTTCTGAGGCGACTGGTTTTTTGGACCTGGTGTAAGCTTTCTTACACCAGAGGGATGAGTAACAACTACAACAGCAGCAACAGAACTTATTGCTCATTAAAATTTCGACCTTTTTTAAATTCACTAGAGTGCCTGAATTTCAACAGAAGATAGAAGTAAAATTTCTGGGAGTCTTATTTAAAAAAACTGCCTTTTTTTGTCATAATCAAACTGTCAAACATAAAACTAAAGAAAAAAATTAATAAAATAGAAATAAAAAAAATTTATTTTTTCAATTTGACTTAAAAGTTATTTTTGTCACACTCTAAATGAACAACATTAGGCTCACCGTTTCCTTATAAACTTTTATCGCCAAAGAAAATTTTCCCAAGTCCTAGTCAGAATTTTCCCAGTTTTGATTGTGATACGTCCTCCACTTTTTTGCTTTACGTCTCGCAAAAATAAAATTAGTTTCTCATTTTTAGTGTATTTGAAAAACAGAGTTTTAGTTCTAACACTTAATTTTATTCCTAGACTGTCTTGGTCTTCTCTGGGAAGACGTCTACTCTACTCCTCTTTTGGTCTTCGATTTCATTCAGGTCAACGGGTTCATAGATCTGGTCTGACTTCGACTGGCCAGAAGAGGAAAAGCAACAACAACAACTAGGGGCTTAAGCCTCCTGTTCGCTGCCGCTTACCAAAACCGATGATTGATACGCAATAATTGTTGTTTCCTGGCATAAATCAGTCTTTTCTACGAAAGTTGAAATTATACACTTAAACAAATTCTGCCTGCTTACGCTTGTGTCCCTACTTCCCACGTCCAACATTTATTTCTTTAATAATGCTTATTTTTAATAAATTTGATTGACTAAAATAGTATAAAATAACTTGTATTAAGAGCCTATTAAGATCTTCTAGTGAACATAAATAATTTTACTTAGTAATTACTTTTTAAACAACATTTAAAATTAGAGGCAAGTGTTAATAGAAAATCACAACCATATTTCAATATATTCACTTACCAAAAAAGATGATATAATAAATACAATTTGTGCATGAAGCTGATCGTTGAGCTCTAAATCATTTATAAAATCTCTTTAATGGTAATTTATAATAGCACGTTAATGTGATTTACTCCAAAATATAATAATAGTAAAACTAGTAAATTTAGACACCGATTCAAATAAGTTTATCTTAAAATGCAACGCAGTAAAATAATACCATGGAATTACGCTGTAATAAAAAATATAAAAAAAATTTTTTAGTTCCAATACTCGTAGTCCCTAAATACTCTTTGTTTTTTCCTTTTTTGCTCAACACTGAAAACTATCTATTTCAGCGCGTGGAATGTAAACTGCGTTTTACACTGAGCGCAATAAGAAATCAGAGAAAACTATTTATAAAAAGGATGTAGTTGCGAACCGTAGTATTGAAATAAAATATATTCAGTTTAAAAAGAATTGGACTTGTTTACATTTGGTGTTTTGTTTTGCTCCCATTTAGAACTTTTTTAAAAAGAAATTCGTTATCATGATACTTTTAGAATAGATTGATACTTTGCAAGCATATTGAAGAAAACAATATCTTGAATAATAAACAAATATATTGGTAATAGAGTATAATTCAGAAATTATAACCTTTATCATCTTTTTTCTTCTGTGCAAACAATATTAAACAAAGACACCTGCGGAATGGAGACTAGGTTTTTGTTCTTGATTTAAATTGAAAGAACTTATTTCTCATAAATGAGGAAAGGGAAATTTTTTCATTTGCATTTGATCTTTACCTTTTCCATACTTTCTCTCAGTAATTTTTTCTCCTCCTGCTTTATTTAACTGTGTAATTTTTATTATTATTGAATCTGAGGAAAAATAATTTGGAAGATGTTCTCATTTTTTAAATTTTTTTTTACTTATCTTAAAATATTTAAATAATGAGAGTATCTCTCTATTACTCTAAAGTTACTTTTTCTAGAAAATGATAATTGCATATGATGATTACGAAAAAGAAGACAGAGCCAAGTCTATTTAATTTTAACATTTATAGCTGAAATAAGTATGTAGAAGAATCGGAAAAATAAAGATAATCACACTTTTTTTGACTAGTAGCGCCATGAAATCAATCATCATGGCGGAACTCTCGGCGTAACTTTAATTTTATTAGTTGCGTCAGAAACGGACAGAAATAGGTAGCTAAATACGTAAAAATAAATAAAGCTAAAAATTATATGGCGATAGTGCAGTAGCGGAATATCTTTGAGCTGATATAATTTGGTAAAGTATATGTAAATAATTAAAAATAATGCTCTGGCTTTATTGAATTTATTAGTTCATGACTTCATAAAAATTTTAAAATCACATTTAGCTAATGACAATCATCCACATTCAAGCTACCTTGATTATTTCGAAAACCTGAACAACTGTTTAACATTCTTTAACACTCAACAAATATGATTTAAGTTTGCAAATTGTATAAAGTCTATTTACATTTTACTTTTAATTTAGAATTTCACTGTTGGAAACCGCATTCAGTGATTTTTTGTAAAGTAAACTAAATCTATTCGTCAGTAATACGTCTTAATACAATTTTTACATTTATCTGAAATTTTGATAATAAATATATCTAAGAAATGTATTGTTATTTTTCTTCCTGAATTCTGTTTTTTTAGGCCTATTTAGTAAATTCAATAACAATACCGTCATGAATTTGTGATTAATCATAATAGGTCGTAATTATTATGATGTTTAAACGCAAAATGAAGCTTGAAATTTCGAATAAAAATTCTGCTTAATTCTTTAATGTTACTATGATTTATATAATAACTTACTTACTCTCATGGATTCTGCAGGGAGGGATATTTCCATATCGTGATCTGTCATGCCTACTACAATCGCCAAGGTACAAGATATATTTTAAACTTACAAATTTAAAAAAAAAAATTTTGTATTTGCATGGAGGTGGGTACGAGTTATACCTTTCGAGTTGGTCCCCTTCTGGGATGTTTTTTTTAAAGTTTCTTGCGGGCAGCTACCTGGAAGTTGCCAAGACTTGGTGATTATTCTGCCACAGATCACAAGACCGAAATATCCCCCAATTCTGCTTTACATTTAAAGACTAATATGAGTACTATTCTATTTCAGTGGGCTGTAAAAAATTTCTACTGATTTTTAATTCCACAGGAAGATTACTGTATTGGTACCTGTACCAAAAAGTCACAAAATTTTGATGAATTGTCTAGCAGTTGCATGCAAGAATTAAAAGTAACTTTAGAGGGACACAACTCATAACCACCTCTGGGCACTCTGCTACTTATTTTCTTAAAGGTTTTGAGCCAAAAAACACTTTTACTCCTTAGCAAAGGTATTTAGCACGAACAGGTACAGATATAGAAATATCCCTGGCTTGACAGTGAAGCTTAATTGTGGTAATAAGTTAAAAAGTATAGATATGGTGGTAATCGAGATTTTGGGCCTTAATATGCAATAGTGTTACAATATGTTAATGCAGTAATAATTAATTATTCAATTAATTAATTCAGTAATATTTCATTTATATTAATGTTTTGATATTTTTTAGGTACCTGATGAGTGTTTCTAAAGACACTCTTATTTTATTGGTTGATAATCAAGTGCTATCAAAATGATTAGTGCCTTTATTCCTAATTTTCATCAAGTGCAAGGGAATCATGGGAAACATTTTACGGTTTGTACTTATGCATTTGTGATGACGTAAAATAGTTATTTATACATAATTGTCTCTTAAAAATATTGAATTTTTCATATTGTCTAATTTGTATAGCCTACTTTTGATTAAATATGTGTAACTGTAGAAACTATATGTATAAACTGTCATTATAATATTTTATTCCCGTGCTATGAGTTTTCAAAGTTCTGAATTTTCTCTACTTACTCTTTGTAATGTTTGAATGCTTTCATCAGAGTCTTTAAAGTTATTACAAATCAGAATTTACTATCTTTATATTGTTTGATGCTATGATAGGAGTTTTCAAAGTAGGGCTAGATTACCCATTAGGCCAGACTAGGCCATGGCCTGGGGCCCCCAATGATTAGGGGCCCCCTTAAAATGGATTTTTTGAAAATAAATTTTAAAAAATTAAAAAAATCAATGATTTTTCATGATTTTTCAAAATTTTGAGATTATTTTTTAGTTCTAATTTAATAAAATAAAGTGAAATTTAATTTATTATTATTTATTTTTATTTTAAGTATGCTTTCTTAAATGAAAAGATGTATAAATACTTTTATATTTGAATTTAAAAAAAAATATATGAGAAAAAAATTTAATCTAAGGGCCCCGCGTATGCTTAATCTGGCCCTGTTTCAAAGTTATTATTAACTGGACTTTACTATCTTCAACATTTATCCATTAGCTACACTTCTCATTGCTTCTATCAATTAGGAAAAATGGAGATGCAAAAAATATTGCTAATAACCTAAAAAAATTTTACTTTATTTTTTTTTAAAAACTAATATTTTCTAAGATTTTTCCAAAGATAAATTAATAAATTACATCAATATGTATCAAGGGTGCATGAGAAAAAGAATCAACTGAATTTTTTAAATTTAATTGGATAAGATATCATAATAAAAGTTGAAAAGTTTTGATGCAAATAATACAATATTTTTTCTTCATTTGCTCTTTTGGTAGCAAGCCTGTTTGGGGACTTTACACTAAGGGTTTCTGTGTTTGGCTGACCACCCTAAAGGATCAACTGCTTCTGCATCCCATATCCCATGGTCACCAAAACAGAGTCGGGAACAATAGGCCTTGGTCCTCCATAGGCTGTCTGGCCACGGAGTTTAGTTTAGCTCTTCTGGTACATTTTCGTCAAAAATTGTCTAATGTATTGAAATAAAATTTGGTACATGATTGAATCTAGATAAATCTACAGTGTAAATCTAAAGTATAAGAAGATTGTTATAAATTAAAAAGATAAATTTATGTTTTAATGCATTTTGATGCAGTCAAAAAATTAGGTCTTCTGTGAAAAGACAAGTAACTTACTTTCAAATAAACTTAAATTAGATACTGGAGCATTGAGAAATTCATTACAAATCGTACTGATGTCCTAAGTCATATTCATAAAAAAGACTATTCTGGTATGAACAAGTTCTAGTGTGTTAGAAAATATGCATTGTCAATAACAGAATTTTTATAGCGTTTTTTAATAAATTTCTGTTATAATTATTCATACAAAAAGTTGGAGAACTGCACCAATTAGTTATAATATTGTGATTACTTTTGATACAACAAAGTTTTTCTCTACCTTTAGTGCTTGTTGCTCTTAATGAATAATAATAATAAAAGTGTTCTATGTTTTCTTAATATTTAAAGCAAAAATTATCTGCGATTTTTTTTTCCAATATAATTTCCACACTAATGTAAGACTGAAAGTAATTGATATTTATTACATGATTTTAATTCGGATGTAACAGTTTCCTTTGAGCTGGTAATAATATGGCATCAACATAATGCATAAATGAACAACCTAGAAAGTCAAACACATGTGCTTTATGCATTGTTTTATGATATGTTTTTTTGAAGCTATTGTTTTGATTTGAAACATAAAGCATTATATCCTTTTTGAAGTTTTTTAATATGTTATTTTTTGTCAATAATTTTTATATCATTAAGTCTAATGATAAATTTCATTGTTAGGTATTTCAAATTGAAGTGTATATTTTTGGAAAATGCCATAAAATTGAGAGACGATACCGTGCCTTTCATTCATTGCATAAGCAGGTTTGTATTTATTGTGATTTTTATGACACTAAATTTGCATTTTAAAGTTTTCACGAAAAATTGAGTGGAGAATTCGCTGCTGCATTTTCTCTTAGCTCATTAGCAAAATTTACAACATAAATCTGCAGCACAATTTTCATAGATTCAAATTTATCTGCAAATTTAGCACATTCAATGCTTAAAAATTTGACATAATATAAAATGTGTACTGAAAAATTTGGCATTTATAAGGTTAATAAAAATTATACACAAAAAATTTTGTTAAGAATTTGTTATTTTAGTTTTTAAAAATTAATTTACTTTTAAATGAATGAAATAATTGACATTCAATATATAGTTCAAGTCAGTATACAGTCTATGTAAGCAGTTAGAGATTTGGAAAACTAAGAATTTATTTATAAAATTCTTTATTTTTCAAAATTCCAATTACTTAAGGAACAATATTTGGAATTTTTTAAATCATCCTTTTTCTTTGGCCTACATATCTGCAGATTGGCAATAAAAATTTTTTGTTAAGAACCTGAAACAAATAGTAATTAAGTAAAGATTTTCCTGATCGTTATATAATTGATTGATTTTCAATATTTTAATTGATTTTTTCNTTTTTTTTTTTTTTTTTTTTTTTTTTTTTTTTTTTTTTTTTTTTACTTTTTTCTTATAAATTGCAAATATCTAAATTTTTTTAATAATGTACTTTTAACTTTTGTATATCAGTTTATCTTTCTTCCTTTTTTTTGAACACATTTATGTTTTGAATTAATAATGAAGTTTATAATGTAAATATTAGTAATAAAGTTTATGATGTAAATATTAGTAATAAAGTTTATGATGTAAATATAATAGTTATAAGTTTCATAGTTCAGTAAAAGTTGGTACTAACTTTATAAACTTTTCTTTATAAATGCTATAGATTCAAGGATTATTTTATATTATTAAGTCTAAATTTATGTTCATTTGCTCATATCATGTTAATTTGCATCTTGTTCATTGTTAATTATGTTCATATGTTATTGTTAATTATGTCTTACTGTGTTCATTTACTCAGGTCCAAATAATATTGTTCTTGGGAGGCTTCTTTATACTTCAATTGTTGCTTTAAAGAGTTAATATTGCTCTAAGCTAAATGTCAAAAAAAGTAATGAAAGTATAAAAGTAATTGAAGTAATATTGAGTTTTATTTAAAGATTTGAAAATTTATGCACTGAGCGCTGCGAGTTCACTTTAATATTTATATTTTCTTTCATATCAACAAACGCCTAATATTTATTGTAGAACCTCAATCAATCATTTCTCATGGGACTATTATTTTCAAGTGAGAAATGCGAGAAAACCAAGAATACAAGTTACGATAAAATATCATATAATGACTTGAAGATGTATGAAAAGTTATGAAGAAAAGAAGTAAATAGACTTGAAAATTAATACATTTACAATAAGTATTAAATGTTTTAGTTAAAAGCGACTATGTACTTGCTACCAAAATATTTAAAATGCAAAAAGATGAATGAGCACATTTATTTACTTAAAATATTTGAAAGTTATGTTTAAGCACACTCTTTTCTTCTGAATGCAAGCAATTTTATAATTTTTAGTTCCTGTGCTCAGAGAAAGTTCCTCTCATTGCCTTTCCAAATTTTAGCTTTGGTTGTAGTTCTGTTTTGTGGTTTTCATTGGTATCTTTTTGCACTTTTGCCAGGTCTGCAATGATTTTTTGAACAGAAAACACCACATTTCAACATATTAATAAACTGATGCATAAATATTAAATGTGCTGTTAAAAGCAATTTCTTTAAACTGTATCAAATCCCCTTTTTAATCATCATTAACAACAGGAGTTATCTTTTTTATTCTTCAACATTTTCTTAAATGTCTGTAAAGTTCCTGAATGATAGATGTGGTGAATTGCCAGGTTCAAAAAGGATATAAACAGATATTAACATTATAGGACCTTTTGTGACAAAACCCTTTAACTATGATGGTACAAACGGAAAACAAAAGATCTAAGAACGACGGATCAAGGTTCAACAGTACCTTCTTATTAATACCAGTTAAACTTGAAGTACTTGACTTGATTATATTTTAAGTATAAGGTGCATTAACTATGCTTATATTCTCAAACCATTTATTTACATAGTTTATGTTTCATAATCTCTCAAATATGAAACATATATTGTATCTATGTAATAATACATGACTCTTCAGCATACATGACTATGAGGCATTGTTAAATCTTGTAAGGGTAATTACAAGATTTAAGTTTGGGAGCCCTTGTTGTAGATGTTTCTTAGATCTATTATATACTATTTATTGCACCAGAAGTTTAAAAAAAAAGTTATAATTTATAAATTTTTTATTGCTATTCAATTGTGTGAGATCAATTATTTTTCTAAGTGTTTTATATTCAAGTTTTGCTTTTATATTGCAAAGTTGTTTGTGATTTTTTTTCTCTTGCTTTTAGTTGAAACACATAATTTCAGCCCCAGAGTTTCCCCCTAAGAAAGTTCGCAATTTAAATCCTAAAGTTTTGGAACAAAGGCGAAAAGGCCTAGAACATTACATTCAAGTAAGAAAATTCCATTGTTATTTTTATGATTATTATTGTTTTATTATGGAGTGAATTTTATAGATTTGTAAAAACTTTGCAGTTCTCCTGCTTTTGATAAGAAATTAATTTATATTTTGAATTTTGTGGTTTTCCAAATAAAAGTTTTGTTGGTATTATGTTGGTGAAATAAAAACATTTTTTTCCTGCCTGCATTGAAATTCTACAAAAAGAAATTAGCCAAATCATGTAAATTGCGTTAAATCAAAATATGAAAAAGATTTTCCTCAATACTAATTTTTATTTTGTAAAGAAACTAAAGCACATAAATCACGCATTGTTAAAATTTTCTTTAAATGAATTAACTGTAATAAAAATTTTCTTTTAATTATGCAGTATTTTTATGTTGATTAGAAATATACTATAAGAAACTATAAAAAAAAAACAAATACTATAAAATAAACAAATACTATAAAAAACATAAATGATTATTAAATTGATTAATTCATATTTATTTGTCAGGGATGTTTTATTTATTTGTTTTATACTAAAACCATTTATTATTACATGATGTGTAACGTTTTTAAAAGGTGCTTATTTTCATTTTTAAAAGCACTTAAAGGTGCTTATTTCATAGGGTGTTAAAGAATAAAAACTCTAAATCAATATTTATTTGTGAATGTAAACCAAACAGTAAATTTGCAAACAATATTAAGTATTGAGGTGGACATCATTAAAATTATATTTAAAGCAAAACAAAACAACAACAACAAAATATTATGCAATTTTCTAATAGTTTAGTGTAAATTTTTGAAAAATATGCTTAGATTTCTTTAACCCCGTTTTTTTGTTTTTTCGCTTTATGCACTTTTTAATGCTGGTCAGAAAACATAAAATATATAATTTCAGAATTCTAGCAATACTCATCTAATATTGTATTAGTAAAAAAGTTCATTTTCTGAATAATAGTGTAAATTAACTTTTAGGATAAATGTAAATTGCAGTTAGCTTTTTTGTTGTATACCTATAAATTTATCATAACTTGCTTTATATCTGAGAAGTATATTTGTTTAAAATTATTTGCATTAATTATTTTTATCATCTGCACGGGAGAAAAAGATAAATTATATATTTTGAACTCATTCATATTACTTTTTAACATAATCTAATTATTTTATAATAATGGCATTTTGTTAATGTTAGCTCCCAATACTGTATTTCGTAGCTTTTGTGTCTTAATTGCTGGAAAATGGTTGTAGATCCCTTCTCTATTTCAGTTTTATAATTTGTTTTATTTCAATTTTACATTTGTGTTATAGGAACTTTTAAAGCGTAAACCAGTGCCTAAGCAACTACTAAATTTCTTATCACTTCCTGGCATTTCTCCAGCCTCTAGTGAAAAGTAAATCCTATTTTTCATTATTTTTATTTTGAACATATTAAACCGATGAATATTTTTATTAAAAAGAAAAAAAATCCTTGTCTTTTCACATCCTATGTACTATTTTGTCATGATACAATCTAAAAAACTTTAAAGCCAGTGAAAAAAATTATGAGAATATTAAAATTAAAATAAAAGGAATTTATATATTATTAATTCTTATTGTTAAGCAATAATGTAACAAATAGGATTTTTTTGTTTTATAATTATCAGCAAATAAAAGTGACGCATACAAAATCAGTATTTCAGCCTGAGTAAAAGCTTTATAGCCAACATAAAAATAGCATATAAAAAATTAATACAAAAAATTTAAACACTTGCTTAAAAGCCATTGTTCTGAATTACTTCAAATATTCTAGTTTTCATGGAATAAACTAGTTTTTTTTACAAAGTTTGAGATTTGTTTTATGCTATTTGTCTTCAATAGTTGATTTCAAACCTGCCATTCACATGAACTTTGTGCTTAACCACAGCCTAAGTTCTCTGAGTTAAGATTTGGAGACTTAGTGGGTTGTTTCATAGTTTCAACATAGTTGGCTTGAAACTAATTTTCTGTACTGTTACTTGAATGAATAGTTGTATTGTCTTGCTGATGTATTTAATTTTCTCCTGAAAGAAATTTTGCTTTCGGTATAAGGTTAATTGCTAGGATATTTTGAGAAGCTTGTGAACTCATTTTGACGAATACACATGCAATTGAACCCACAACATTGTAAGCAAAGTATCCCCAGGTTATCACAGAACCTCCTCCTAATTGGCTCTCAGAGTACATTTTTTTCTTCTTAAATCATGACAATAATACTTCCAATCAGATTCCATTTTTTTTATTTATCAAAAGAAATTATTTGCATCTATTGATTGTATTGAGTCATGACTTGTTGGTTGAAGTTTCAATGTTCTATTTTGTATTTTGTGCCTCTGCAGCCATCAAGATTTAGCCTATTTAGTCGTATGAATNTTTTTTTTTTTTTTTTTTTTTTTTTTTTTTTTTTTTTTTGACAAGCATTTAAATGTAGGGCCTGGTTGGTAGAGCACTGGGTCCAATAGGTTGTGGGTTCGATCCCTGCCCGCCGAAAAAACACTGTGCAGTAAATAGTGATTGATGCACGTTAAATCTGTCGAGTCACAAAGTCCTCCATGTTCCCATAACAAATCATACCTATGGGGGTTCTGATCCAGGAGTTTCCTTGTCTTCTGAATTGGTTCGAAATTACAAGGCTACAGAGTTGAACAATAGCAGTCGTAAACCCAAAATCGGGTCGGCTGTTCAATGACATTTATAAAATAAAATAAAAACATTTAAATGTGTCACTTGATTAAGTTTCGTGGTTGAGTATTTCTCAGTAAATGCAACGCTGCAAACTCTTCTTTCATCATGCGAGGGCATAGCTTTAGGTCTTCTGCCAGTATTCTTAATAATTATCATTAAATTTGAAGAAAATCTCGATTACACTCTTTGATCTTCATATCTTTATTGCAATTATACAGCTACTCATTTCTGGAGAAAAGGCGCTTCAATCTCTCCTCTTTCCTGATCAGATAACTTCGTACCTTTCGCCATCTTCGCAAAAAGTACCAAAACTTCGAGGAAATATATTCTACTAGAAGTGTTTTCATGATCTTCATAATCGTTGTAATATTTAAGCTAGTATGTGTATATTTATTAAACAACCCAATATTATTAAATACATAAAAATAAATAGAATGAATTGGATGGCTCACGTGATTCGAATGAGTGATGACAATACAATAAAAAGATACTGCTATATAGACCCACTGGAACGACAAAGCAGGGAAGGCCGCGTTTGAGATGGGCTGATTCGGTAGAGTTTGATATTCTTGCAATTAATGAAAAGAATTGGAGATCAAAGATAAATTGGAAGTTGTTATGAAGAATCTTCAGAGGAAGGCATTGGGCTGTTTGGTCAACTATGATGATGTATATTTATTTTTTAAAATTACTGGTGGCCTTTACCAATTTTGTGCAAACCACTTTTTTCTGATAATTACAAATCCTGTTTGTTGCATTGTTTGTTAATATACTTTATGAATCAAAAATAAAATAAAAGAGATTTAAGTAGTATTGTATTTTTCAATTGTCTTAAATGCTTTCACTATCTAACTCTTAAACTACTTTCACAGTTATCACTACTTTTGTATTGCTTTGCTTGATCACTAGTTATTAAACTATAGTATTCTTGTATTATTCATGTGTTATTCTGAAGCTACATACATAGGCTAAAACTGTCTGATATTTTGATAGCACTTGGACTGCAAACTTTTAAATCAAAAGTATTTATGCCCACAATAGTTAAACTAATTTTAATCTCACAGCGATAAATACATATAACAAAAATTATACAATATTATCATTCTCCATTGGTCTATTCGGCCTTGCTCCTATATTCTTTATGTACATTGACTCTATGTTGACCGTGCATCTACACACTAACCTCAATTGTCAACTAATGTGGATACATGGGTGGGCTACTGTAAACAGTTTGTGTATGTTATTAAAAGGCTTTATTTGGTAATTATCTGGGTTAATTAGTAACACTTTACTTGTCAGGGTTTTTAAATTACTAAATTAGATTACTTTTATGAAGTATTTGATCAACTGATGAAATGCTTAAACAAATAACTATATGGTTAGTGTGTACACATGGTTAAGATTCTATAGGCATGTAAATATGTACCATTCAAAATTGTGATAAAAATACTTAATATGCTTTGTTTTTTATTATTGTTCATATTAGTTTCCATTCCCTTACGACCAATACGTAATATATGAAGTTTTCGAAAATGACTCTGTTATATACTTATTGATTTAACAATGCCAAATATTTTATGAGCTGGATGAAATATTGATTTTATTTCAGATCACCATGACTATGTTTTTTACCATTAATTTCTAACATCAACCTTCGTTTTTTTCGCTACTAGCAATAACTATATCACTTTTTCTTTTGGAAAATAAGAATTTGTCAAACAAATATAATAACTTTTGATAGTGTGTTAGACCTTTAAAATAAAGTAAGCATATTGTGCATTTCTAAATTAACTGGAATTATCTTTCTTTAAAAATGTTTTTTTTTCCTTTACTTTTATAGCTCCGTTCATATGGAAGAAAATAAAGAAATAATTCATCAACCTGTAGTGATGTACAGTGTTAATTTATATGTTGAGGAAGATAGAACAAGTGAGTGTTTTTGTTTTAACCTTGAAATTTTATTTTTTAATTTATAATTACTATTGTATTGAATTGGAAAATTTTCTTCATTACGACTCGGGGGGGGGGGCATTCAAATATTATGTGGGCATATTTTGGACTCCCCTTTACCCCTTGTTAGTAAAAATAAGAAATTTGCAAACCCTCACCCTTGTTTATGTTAGAAAATTGAAGCCTCTTCTGGTTTTTACTTTTGTAATTTATTTAAGTGTTAAATTCAAATAAAAGATGTAACAAAATTATGTTTAAATTCATTTATTTTATAAAATTTTAAATTTTTTAGGAATCTCTTTTGTTTTTTTCAACTGTTCATCTTTCAAACTCTTCGAAAAATTCTTTTCAATTTTCCTTTTCACAAGTTCAACTTTTATTCCAAATTTGAAATTTTTTTGTTACACTTTTCATTATGCTTAAGAAAACTTTTCAAAATTAGGGTATTTTAATATATTGCATAAGCAATGCTCAAGTACTACCTCCCGCTTGTCAATAAAAATAAACAAATCTCAAACTTCCTCCTAAACTGTTAGGTGTATACATTCATTTGAAAGGGCCTTCCAGTGAAAGAAATATTGTTTTTCATAAGTGACAATTTAGTGAATTTAAGTAAATCCCTTTTGAAGTGTATATGTTGATAACAATAGGAAGTTAAGAGGTTTCGAGAGGAGTGGGAGATCTTCGTGGTTTTCTTCTTCGTCTGACGCAAATGCTGGTTAGTTTCATCAAAAAGTCCTCCGTGAAGGCAAATTTCTTACAGGAGTTCCCTTGTCTTCTGGATTGGACTCAAAATTAGAAGGCCACAGAGTTGAGCATTAGTAGTCGTAAACCCAAAAGGTGGGTCGACTGTTCAATGACGGTTATAAAATCGCGTATCAATGACATCAAAAGATATTATGTTTTATTTCATTTTCTTCTTGCTAAAACTTGTTACGACATGAAAACTTGTCATTCAAACATTCATGTCATTGATATTTTTGTCTTTCATAAAGTACAGAGCTACATGATACAATCCACAATCTCTTGTTTAAAGAAGCCTAATCTAGTTATGACTTTTAATTCAAAAGAATTGTTCAAAATAAAATAAAAGAGGTAAATATGACTCTTTTGCTTTTAATCTTTTTACTGCTATTTTAGCATTAAACCCGTGTATTGAATTGCATATACTAGCTCACTACCACAACAATTTCATCCGCTATTTATAATGGATTGTTGTTATAATGGATTTCTACTGTACTATGTTGCTGTGAATGAACAAAATTGGTGGTTGTTGACTTCCACCGATGAATGTTGACATTGCATATATTTGCCCGGTATGTCCTTCATCAATGTTTCTTTAAGGTTCAGTGCCACTGCCCAATATTTAACCGGTACTCCGAACATTGATGTTTCTCCTAATCTATCCTCAGCAGATATGAAAATATCGAATAAACATAATATCAACTAGAGCTGCAATGATATAGTGTTCCTCTTATAATGAGGTGAACCAGGTTTGAATCCCAACAATGGCTGGTCGTAACGAATTACGCATTCAGCTCGCACCGTTCACAGTGCTGACGTTGAATGTCCTAAATGGTAGACAGATCGTTAGAGTCCCTTTGCCATCAGGCTAATCATGGGATGTTCTCGTGGTCTTCCTCTCCAAGTAATGCTAATGCAGGTTGATTCCATCAAAACGCCCTCCACGAAGACAAATTTCTCCCAATACTTGATCTGGGAGCTACCTTGTCTTCTGGATTGGGTTCAAAATTACAAGGATACGAACTTGAACATTAGTAGTCTGAAACCCAAGAATAGGTCAACTGTTCAACCGCAGTTATAAAGTAAAATAATGTCAACGAATAAATTAATGTAAAATTGGTAACATATTTTATCGGATATAACAAATATTTAGGACATTCAACAAAGCGACTATGTGATTGTTGGCATCACCGGTAAAAGTCGACATTCTCTTGATTTCAGTCATTCACAGTAACATATATATGTGATGTGTTAATAAAATTAAATTTAGGTATCTGTCTAACAATTTAATCTTTTTAAGCCATATAATTTACAAAATAAAATATTTTATAGGTAGTTTACCCAACATTGTAAGCAAAGGTCTGTTGACAGCGTTTTATTCATCTGATGAAGAAGGGGACTAATTATTCTTCCGTTTGATATAATTATTACTAAATTCTCTAATTTTATGAAGCTATTTTATTTTTTTAAATATTCTTTGTAATCTATATAAACTGAACAAATGTGATTCTCAAAATCATTTTTATTTATTTTGCAAAATGATTAGTTTTTGTGTTGCTGATTTTTATTTATTTTTTTGTTCTTTTATATTTATATCATTGTTTATTTATGCTTTAATTATTTTACATCTACCTTTTCCCTGCATTATTTTATATATATATATATATTTGTTTTGGGTTATTAATTTTCAGAGAAATTAAAAATGCTTGAAATTAATAAATAGAANTGTTCTTTTATATTTATATCATTGTTTATTTATGCTTTAATTATTTTACATCTACCTTTTCCCTGCATTATTTTATATATATATATATTTTTGTTTTGGGTTATTAATTTTCAGAAAAATTAAAAATGCTTGAAATTTTATTCAAAGTTTTACATGGATTATAGATCTTGTAATCAAATATTTTTTTGTCCAAAAGTTAATGTTTAAACCTTTTAACTACCCAATTTTATAACAGATAGACGTTTAAGTGATTTTATTTTATTAAATTTTCTTCAATTTATTCTGTTTTCGTATTCAACTTAAGGAAAATTTTGAAAAACAATTTTTCATAAATTTCATAAATATAAATTATACAGGCTAAAAACATGAGTTTTTTAAGCAACTTGCAATTTCATTATTAAATTATTTTTTTTAAAAATTTGGGTTTGTTTTTTAAAAGTTTTGTAATAAATCTCTTATTAATAGATTTTGTTTTCTTCAAATATTAAGACATCAAATAATAGCAAAAAATGTTTTTTCTTGCTTATATGTAAATTGAAAGGAAATAAACTTATCAAAGAAAAATAAAATTGCAAATTAATGTATTGTAATTTTAAATTCTGATTATTTAGGGTTAAAAAAATGAAATAAAAAACTTTAAACATAGATTTTATGATAATAACATTGCAACAAATGTTGTAAAATGGTATCGATGCTTGTTCTCAAGATATGTGTTTTATTTTTTATGTAATTTCTAAGCTTTGAGTGTTTATATTGAAATAACAATTGCTTAAGGTAAACAGATTAGATTTTTGAGTTTCTTTTTGCTTTTTTTTTTAAAATTCAAACTATTGTAGTTTTTTTTTTTTTTTNATTGTCATTGTTACTTCTCATTGTTACTTCTTTTTAAGTTCCACTTAAATATTTTTTATAGTTACTTCTTCCAATTATCTCATATAATAATAACAAAACCAATCTTCAAAACATATTAATTAAAAAAATCAATTTTTTCTTAAAACAAAAATTATTAATGATTATGAAGAAATTTATAATCAATAGAATGCCTAGGTGCTATGTATAAAGCCTGGCATTTGTAGGCAAAGATGAAATATGGGAATTATTACACACCTTAAGATTGTATATAATACCTTGGCATTCTATAGAAGGTCAATAGGAAAGTCTAATAAAAGGTCCTGTTAAGTCTTATGTATAAATGAGGCCCATTCTTCAAAAATGCAAATTTTATTCTAAAAAATAATGGAAGTAAAATTTTTTAATATTTTGAATTTAAAAAAAATTTTGAAAATACGCTAAAAAAAATAAATTAGTTCAAATCAAAATGTATGCCATTTTTTATTGAAGGCAGCACAATTTTCTTTTGAAAAATAAGAAATTAAAACTCACCTACTTGTTGCAACATGATAGTCTTCAATAACATTTTGAATTACTTTTTATTACATTCAAAACGAATCAGAGCTGTATTTCCAAGTTTACCAGTTTCTAATTTGGCATTCTGTAGAATGCATAGGGAATGTGTGAAATTATATTATTTCATTCATTGCCAACTAGTTTTAGGCATTATATACAATGTCAAAAACTACCAGATTATCAACTTTGCCGGTAACATATATGCTATCAGTTTATCCACAATAAAACTTTATTTTCTATTCATTTGAAATTGGTTGTATTGTAATATTTTATGCATATGTGCAAAATTCAATGATTACTAATTTATTTTAAAAATTAAATTGTTACGCAGCTTTTTAATGCCAAGAATTATAACTTTTGCTTTTTATGATGTTATAGTTAAACTGTGATTTGAACAGAAATATATTTATGCACATAAACTATTTTAATGCACTAAATTAGTAAAAATTTGAGTCCAATATCATGCATAAGATAATTGTGTGCATAATGAAAACTTTTTTAATTTTTCTTTTCAAAAATATCGACATTTTCTATTTTGAAATATCAAGTTAATAAAATTTGTTGATTATAAGCATAATATGACTATTGTTACAGTATTGATTTAATTAGAAAAATTATAAGAATGCTTTAAAAATGAACATGGGTTCAAACCCAACTTCTGACAATCTCAATGTCTCAAAAGAAAGTACCACACAAATTCATTTTATAAACTTTATTTACAGACTCAATTAAAAACATACTACGACTATACTATACTGAGATGCCATCTCTTAGTTTTAATCATTACTGAAGATCAGGAGGAAAGAACAATTTATATCCATTTTTCTCAAAAATGACGATTGGATCAGCATTTGTTGGGTTTTGAGGATTACTAAGTTTCGGCAAATGAGTAACGTGAAAAATCAGTTCTCCCTGAGAGTTATTACACAGTTAAGATGGGCTGGGTAAAAAAGTACGCAAGAAAAGCAAAAAAAAGTATAATGTAGAATACAACAAGAATACTAGTAAGGAAGTATTGATTGTGGAGGAAGTTTAAGGAAGAAAAGAAAAAAAAAAGAGTTCTCCAATTCGATTTCATTTCTTTTTTCAACATCAAAAGTTTTAAATTTTGTTTTGCAAATTTTAGGAGATGTAAATAAATGCTTGTGACTGTCGTGTATATTTTTATTTTTTCAGTCCATTACTAGCTCCTAAAAATTCTCAAATGTTGAAATTTATTTTTCTCAGTGTTAACTTTCATGGACATAAACAGTTTCCCATCCACCTGATCTTCAATTATGATTATAATTGCAGCTCTATATATAATTTCTGAGCTTACTTTCTGCATGGTTATCCCTACCAAGTAAAGAACATGTGATATAAATTGTTTAGAAAAATAAAATTCTTTTTGTAATGATATTAAGTTGTGTAGAACATGTTTCCTATATTATAGGTTTTGTTTTGCACTATACACAATTACTACTGTATATTTTAGTGGTTAATAGATTTTTTGTTCAACACTGAAAATTAGGGCTGTGCTGAATAGAATTGGGGCATACCTACCATTTTTAATATTGGAAACTTTGCTGGAATCCTTAAATATAGCGATTCATATTTACGCGATTTTAATATCAAACATAGATTTTCGTATTCACCTGATTTAAAAGTTTTATATAGTGAATTGTGTTCATGCTATTTAAAAATTGTGCATTGCGATTCATTTTCACGCGATCTAAAAATCATGCATCCCTATTCATATTTACGCGATCTAAAAATCCAATATCACGATTCTTGTGAAAAGTACTGTCTTCTTAAATTAGTAACTATAAAAGTATGATGTTCTTCATTGGTGTATAATTTAATTATAAATCCTAGTTCAAAAAATTATACTAAACATGTATACTACATAAATTTATATATTGATACCGAGTTTTTGCACTTAAAATTTTAGGATTTTAATTTTTTTCATAAATGTCACTTTCATTTTTCTTCACTAAGCTCTTTGATACAGATTTGAAATATTCCTGATCATATAGTTTTCACTCATTATTAAATTTGATGATTTGTATTTGCATTTTTCTTTATGGTTACATTTGACTATTTAAAATGATATATATATTTTTTTAATAGTCAGTATTTAATATTATTTAGTAAATGTGTGTAATGGTGACTTTTGTCATTAAAAATGAAGTAAAGAAGAAAAAATTTTGGCGAGTAAAGAAATACACGCATAGTTTTCATTCCAACATTATACAATCCCTACAAATGCTCAAAACTTTGCTTAAACTTAGATAAAAAATAAATAAATGAAGGCTGTCAAGTAAGTTGAATAACAAAGTTTATTAATAAGAGTGTTTTAAGCTTTATTTTGCGTTTTTGACTTTTAATTTTATCTTTTTGAACTATTGCATATCACCTTCCTTTTGAGAACAAAAATATAGTGAAAAACCTATATATATGTAAATATGCACATTATCTTGATTACACATATAATAATTAGATATATAATATAATGAAAGTGAAATAACCAGAGAGCTTCATCATTAAAATAATGAATGATTATGTACTAACTTGACACGAAAAAAATGTATAAATAAGAAACTAGTTTAGAATATATTAAATTCTAAAAGAAAAATTTCCTCATTATTTACATTTTTTATTATTTTATTCTATCGATTATTTATTTTATTTCTCCTAGAACAGCAATTTATATGATAATTTACTTAAAATATTTAAGCTATATTTCTTTATGCTTCAGTGGTGAAGAGGATAAATTAAAAAAAAAATTTAAGAGGACGCTATAAAACGAGAGAAACACTTTATGACGAATTTTGTTTTACTTTCAGAAGTAATTTAAAGTTAAGAGATAAGTGAATTCAGGTAAACCTAGAGTGAACTAAAAAGTTTCAAATGCTAAACAAAAAGTTTCAAAATACCAAAATTAAAACAAATTATCGCAGGATTGATTACTCAAGATTATGCACGCACCGAGAAAAATAATGCTCTAATAATTTGCTTACATTTTGATCTGTTGAAAACATTTTTTCAGCTTTTGTAATTTCATCATTTACTTTAGGTTTACCTTTTTTCGAAGCATTAAATTTTAAAATATATGGCGCAAACCTGTATAATATACGCAAACACCGTTCGCCGAAATTTCTTTACTATTACGCAGAAAAATAATTATAACAATAATGATTCGAATCTTCAAATAAAGTTTGTCTTTTTCGAATTACCAAGGGAAATAAACATTTATTTTTACACCTTTTCCTAAACGCAATTTAAAATTACATTCACATGATACAAAATCGCAATTCCTATTTACATGCGCATCGTAATCACGCATTTTCCTGTACAACAATTATACATCGGAATTCGTATTCACGTGATTTTAAAATGAAACTTCGAGATTTGTATTTACGCGATTTTAAAATTAAATGCCGAGATTATTATTCGCGTGATTTAAAAGTCACTCATTGAGATTCATATTCAAATAATTTAAATCAATAAATTAAATCTCGCATCAATATTTTTATTAA